TGCTATTTCTTTCTCAATAAAATTAATAAAAAATAAATAAATGGTGTCAGAAAAACTGGCTTTCCACATGATGGCTAAAATTAGACCTGTGTTTATATATCATCATGCACTAAACTAAAGTCAAAATGAATCAAAGATTTAAGTATTAAAACAGGAACACTAAATCTACTGGAAGATAAAGATAGAAATCTTGAATACATATGGGTACATAGACTTCATGAACAAAACCAAACTGCCTGGAAAATACTTTAAAGAATCAACAACTGGGATCTCATTTTATTACAAAGATTTTGCACAATGAAATAAATCAAAAAAAAAAAAACCTTGAAAAAAATAACACATCTTTCTCTCTTCTGGGGAAAAATATCCAATTATCAGAAAAAGACTTCTACCTAGAACCCATAAAGACTTGACAAAAATAAATCCCCCATATTATAAGAACCCAAGCAAAAATGGCATCTGAGATGAATAGATACTTCCCAGATGAAGAAATACAAATGGCAAATAAATGAATAGAATCTGTTCAACATCACTGTCATTCAATAAATGCAAATTAATACAATACTGAGATTCTACCTCACCCCAGAAACAATGACTTTCCTCAAGAAATCAACTAATAATAAATGCTGGTGTGGCTATGGGGTGGGGGGCAGGGTAGGAAAGGAAGCCTCCGCCACTGTTAGTGGGAGTATAGACTGAAACCGCTGTAGAAATCAGTGTGGAGATTCCTAAAGACAAACTAGAATTAGTTTGTCTATATATCTTTTCACTACAAATAGCTGATATCTATGAACTATAAATATATCTTTTCCCCTTCTTTGTCTTTGTCTTCTTTCTCATCCCAGTTTTTTCTTCCTATTGAACAAACTATTTCCCTTTTTCAGTAGCTGTTTTTGTCTTTGGCTCTGTTGATATAGGGTATTATATTTATGGATTTGCATGTATTGAACCATGCCTGCATTCCTGGGATGAATTCCTCTTTGGTCATGATGGTGACGTATAATCTTCTTGATGATTTCTTGCATTCTCTTTGCTAGTATTTCATTAATGGTTTTTGTATCTATGATCATTAGGGAGATTTGCCTACAGTTCTGCTGTTTGTTTGTGTCTTTCTTTAGTTTTGGTATCAGGGTAATACTTTCCTCCAGAAATGAGTTAGGGAGAACTACTTCACTTTCAAGTCCATTAAAAGAACTGAGGAATGTTGGCATCAAATCTCTTAATTGCTTGGAGTATTCAGTGGTGAATACACCAGGCTCTAGACTTTTCTTTGTTCATAATTTTTAATTATATTTTCAATTTCATATTTTGATATTGGGCTAGTCATAATTTTTCTATCTTCTTGATTCATCTTGGTAAGTCACATGTTTCTAGGAATCTTTCCATTTTCCTGTATTTTCCATTCTATAAGAGTAAATATGGTCACAGTAAGAAATTTTGCTATTCTCCAATTTTTTATCTACTTCTTCTTTAGCTATGTTCAGCAATTCTTTCCTCAGGTTCATCATTTCTTTTTTATCTGAAAGATTATTTCTGATCTGATTTCTTCTATAACCTGATGGAGTTATTTCATTACTTCTGTTGAAATGGTTTCAGAAATTTCACGTGTGTCACTTCCAATTTCTTCAATGTCAGTGTCTTTTGGACTTGTGCTGGGTGGACTGGAGGTCTGAGATTGCATTTTTCTCCTTTAACATTTTCTATTTTAGAAACTTAAAAATTTTTTTTCTGATGACCACTGTGAGTTTTGGTAGTATGTAGCCATCTCACTAGTATTAAGGCCACTCTAGTAAAAGTCTGTACTTGAGTTGCATCTTTTCAGTGTAGGAGATTCTTTTTTTTGGGGGGGGGCGTGCACTCAGGATGCCTTCAGGGCAGGTCTGGTTTTACTTGAGGATGAGGGGCTCGAACCTCAGTATCCTCAGCCTGACTGCTTTGTTTCAGCAGACACTTAAACACCTGAGCTAATGGGCAGGCCTCCGAGCGTACGAGATTCTTGGTTTGTGTTTGTCCCAAGATTGTATCTTCCCAATTAATTGAGAGTAGGTTGCTTTCTGTTTGACTATGTCTCCAATCTTTTGTTGTAGAGCTATGTTGGGTTTATTGCCCCAGATCGTCCCACTATTGTTACACAAGGGAGAATAGCTGATTAAAACAGATATGACCCTAGATACAGCAGCACAGTTAGAAACAATGACAGCATCAAGCACTATTTAGAAATTGACAAACTGTGGTAACTATTGATTTTGTAGTAAGACCAAATTCTTGATTTTATATATAGGAACAGAGTCTTATTACAGAACCACTCATAATTTAGGTATTTGCATACAAATTTTTCTGCATTTGAGTATGAATTTACCCTGGGTTCCTCCAGATGGGCTGGTTACCATGCCCTGCTGTTTCCTACACTGGCTGCCTGTCTCTAAACGTAGAACAGTGGGCCAAGAACCTGGGTTCCTCTGCACTGTTTAGCTGTGCATTTCCTTCTCTAACTGAAATGGAACATACATCTCTGACAAAACAATACAAAAATGGTGGATATGTTAGGAGCCATGGAAGCTAGGAAGTCAATCAAATGTGTGTAGGCAGGACTAGATCTCAGTGCCTAAAGCAAACAAGCTACCTCAGTCCTGAGATAAACATTCTGGTCTGGTTAAAGTCAGATATTAGTCACTAGGAAACCTTGTGTCATGTGTTACTAAGTTTGCGAAAGTGTAAATAAAATATCGTTTTGTTGTGAAAAAATGTATGTATGTGTACACAAGATAGTTAGGATAGATACACAATTACTTTCTCTTAGTTCATTGAGAAGAAAGGTTTGTACTAATATTGGCTAGACAAGATGTCATGTCTACATCTTTCCTCAGAATAACTACTGTGAAGACAATAATATGCAATGCATTAATTATTATAACTGTCCTACTAACCTATTTTGAAATGGTTTCATTGCTGTTTTATCTTCTTTTTCTTATTAAAATGAATAAAATATAAAAATAAAATATTTTTTGAAGTTTTCTACTTTTTCTAAACATATTGTTTTATACTTTTCACTGGTCTTTTGATGTAGTTTGTGAATATAGTGTGACATTAAAATTGAAATTAATTTTTTTGATATTTGATTTTGTTTATGTATGCTTACATATGTCTAATTTCTTCAAAACTTTAGTTGAACATAGGATTTTTTTGTTTCATTGAATTTTTTTGTTTTGGGTGAACTACCCACTTGGGCTCCCCTCCTGTCCCTCTCTTGGACAGGAGCTTTTCTTTCTCTCAATAAGTATATTCTGCTCATAAAAAAAGAATTTCTTTTGTTTTGTTTTGTTTTGTTTGTTTTTTACAAATATCACATGCACATCTTTATGCCATTGTTAGTGATGGGTAAAATGTAGATATCTATATTTGGCATATGATAGCTCTTCTACAAGAGTAGGTGGAGTTCTTACTACTTTCTCTGTGGGCTCAAAGCCTTGCTCCTACTGGAGATCTGGGAAAGCTGGGTGGGACGAAGGCAGATCTCTATTGCTTAGTATTAGTGGATCTCTAGACTTTCCAGTTGGCCTTGGTTAAAGGGTAGAGAAGGGGTAAAAGTTTTCTGTGTTGCTTGACAGAGGTAGTTACTTATAGTCTACCAGTTTTCTGTCTTGATAGGCTGCCTTCTTCTTGATTTTGGGGGTTTAGGGTTTTTGTTTAGGATTTGTTTTGTTATGGCTTTTAATGTTTGCTTTTTAACTACTTAAGTATCCAGCTTTGGTCACATGAGACAAGAAGAAAAATCAGAGGACTGGCCACAGTGGCTTTCTTATGTTCTAGGGGCCTCAGCCTATCTTTATTCTCCATCTTTAAAAATCTCATTTGGTTTGTTTTGTATATCAATTTTTGCTAGATTTTGGTTGTTTCCTTATGCTTGGAGGGATGGTTAGGGAAAACCATCATACTTCGTGGTAGGTCAGCAAATGTTCTTTAAAATTCTCAGTTTACAAACATAAAAACTGTTTAGAAAAAAAGGTATGAGAGTCAAAGTTTCACAAAATGTACAGCAGTGAATCCAGGTCGATAGCGCTTTGCTGACATTATTCTCTCCGTCACAAGGACATCCAAACAGCACAAGAGTGCCAGCGGAAGTGCTCTACGGTTCACCGCGGCACTGAGCCGGGGCGGGGAGGGACCCTGCTCCAGCTCAATGGGCCATGGGGCAGGAAGATTTGGGCATCCACTCTTTTTCTACTTTACTTCACTCACATCCATTTCATAATAGATTTCAAATCAGTGGAAAAGGAGAACACATATGCCATTAGAAATGTCCCCAAAAGCTTGCAGGTAGAAAGGCCATTAGTTGAAAAGCACAGAACTTCAGAAGCTATGTTTGCAGTTGTGGCAGCAGAGGACACTTGAGGATTCTCTGACTGCATGTGGGCCAATGCCATGTCTTCATCTTCAAATGATGGAATTTTGGAAGAGGTACTAATACAAGTTTTTAAAGAAAGTAAGGAAAGATAAATACACTATGAAAAATAATTGATAATACAGAGATATTCAGTTGCTATATATTTAAAGAAGGGTGTGTGTGTATTGCAGTATGTATTGCTCAGTATATATATATATATATATATATATATATATATATATGTATTTTACATCATTGGGTTATGAAAATCTATTTTCCTGTAAAACTAAAATTCCCTCACTAAAGTAAAGTCATATCTTAATGTGACTGTGTCCCATATATTGCTACCTTATGCTCACTGCCTTCATCCTGGTTCAGTCTTGCATGCTTTCAAATGAACTTCCTGCTTCCAACAATAGCCCATCCTTTTCCTCTTCCAACTCTGCTGATAAAATTCCTTTTTCTATTCTGCCAGAGAAACTTCATGCATGCTTTTCTGTATGCTGCCTAGAAAATTCCTGGTTTCCTACAGCTTTCCAGATTAAGTGTAGATATTTTTAGAAATCAGCACAGACAAATCAGATCTTCAGCCACCTGTCTTCTGCTCTCTTCTTAGGTATTACCAGATCCGAGTGACCTTAAAGATATCCTCAAGAATCCCACATAGAGTGAGTGCTTCCATCGTTGGGCAGACAGGTGAGTAGAACAATGCAATGGGCTCTTGTCCCGCTGGTAAACCTTCATTTATCATTGTGTGCCAAGACACAGCAAGAGTGCAAGGTACACTCTTGAAAATCAATGCTGAGGGGTAGATGCAAGCCTTTGGGAAATATAGATCTGCTGTTGAAAGTGGCCTCATGCAATTATTGATGCAAAGGGCATTGGATTGAAGAAAACCACAGTGTCCCAGGAGTGGTAGTACTTCACTACTACCACTGTGGGTCAAATTAGCTGTGGGGTTGGATTAAAGTCAGGTCAGGGATGAAATGGGTGGAAAATGGCATCTAATATATAGATATGAAGAACCCTGTCATTAGATATCTCCAGATAATCAGGTATGGTCAGAGGACTCAGAAGATGGGCACTTGTGGTGACATCCTCCATGCATAATAGGGTTCTAAGAACCATGTACTTAACCAGGGGAAAAGGACTGCAAAAGACATTCCAAGTTCCATCCTCAAGGGACTGGAGTGTTGAGTGTCCAGGCCTCTCAGCAGGCTCTCTGCAGTAGAGTGAAGTCAGAAATATAGAACTTATTGCAGAAGATACAAAGATAGGTCTCAGGTTACTTAGTGGAAACACAAGACGATTACATTGATAAATTTGGTGTACTTGTGAAGACTACCAGTTCTTCTTAAAAAGAATGGGAAATACTTAGGTTTGGTATACAGAAAGTAAGGAGGAAAAAAGTCAGAGTTGCATGCAAAATCTATTACACTTTAAATTCATAAGCCATAAGGTTTTCTAGCAAGGAAAATGTCCCACCAGGGTCAACTGTAAGGCTGCATTTGATACTGATGTTAACTGAAGAATGGGAGAAACGCTTCAGCTAATTCTTGTCTTGCTGAGAATAACAAGAGCCTAGCTTTCTTTGGTTTTCCTCCTAATGTCTGGGGATCTTTGCCCTTTTCCTGCCTTTCTATTAGGAAGGACATCATTCCACATTCTATTTGTATTAGGAAAAAGTATCATCTTAAGTGTTTGAATATTCAGCCCTCTAATCTATCTTTCCCTTTTCCTCATGGAAAGAATAATTTTAATATAGAAAATCACTAAAAATCTAAAAATAAAATAAAAGATAAAATAATCGGGAACACTACAGAATTCAATTTCTGATTAGACCTATAATTCATAGAATTTATTTGGTGCTGAGAGATATTAAGATGAAAGAAATCATTGGGTACTCACAAGTAAAGAGTATAAATGTGGCCTGTTTGGCTTCATGTTGTATGCGTGCTTCATACATGAGTTCATCTCCTTAATGAGGGAAAATCATCAGGCAAGTCACAGGACTAGGCTTGGACGACTAATTCAATTCCATGCTAAGAAAGGCAGTAATGCTATTGACCAACTGTTTCTGGTTCTGAGCAGAGTGAATGTCAAGTAATATTCAAGTCCCTTGTTTCCAAAATGTTTTTCCTTTTATTCCACTTCTGTATAAAAACAAGCAAGATATCTAAGGGGGAGCAAAAGTATCCTCCCATTGCCTTATAGTACAGATTCATAGTAACTCAACATTCCAGCACTTCTCTTCTTTTGCTGGACTCTTAGTTACCTGAGTTGTACCTCAGTACCACCACAACTTCCACCAGAAGGCCCATGGCATCCACAAGAGGATGTTATTGGTTCCTGGCACTTATGGACTAGTTGGGCAACCTCAGGTCTGTTATCAGCATCTTGAGCTGTATTTTTTTCACCTGAAATACGAGCATAAAGCCCATCCCTCATAGAGTTTTTGCGTTAGAGGTTTTAAATGAAAAGACATTTTCTATTTTATAGATTGTAAATGTAAATGCTTCAGAATGGCATCTGGAACCAAGTCTGACAGCCCTACCCTTATGTGATCATGGGGTTTGCAGGAGGAGGCTGGGACAAGGCATTAGCTCAGTGCAGGGATGGATCAGATGCAGCTGACCTGATAGGGGCCATAGGCAGGCTTCTATCGAGCACTCTATGGGCGGCATTAACTCAGGTGCCAGTGTATAAGATGGAGATGGTTGGTGGCCCTTATCTCATAGGTTTGTGGCTCAATAAATTATGCAAGTAAAATGATAAAATCATTGCTCCCACATAGATAGCTTAGAGCCACCCCTCCTAGACTAAGCATTGCTATGATGGCTCAGAGTGATTGTTTGATAGTACTCTTCCCTCTGCTGGCCCTGGTACCAGACCTGGTTGTAGGAAACTGCCTTACTGTCCTAGAGGGCTTACAGTCATGGTGGGAGACAAAGAAGTGGTCAGATGAGTAAAGAAGAGAAAGATTGTGATGACGTCCAGTGGACCATTGTGATGGCCCACTGAGTGGTCCATTCATCATGGACTGTACAAGCTCAGAGCCTGGCAACTTCATGGAAGAAAGGGGCTCCCCAAGGAGACTCAGAAAGAAGAAAATCCAACCCTAGAGATAAAACAGCGAAGGATGGTTCATGCAGCAGAAAAGGAATGATCCATATCACCAGAGGGAAATTCCAAGATAAGAGGAGGTCTGGTGGGAATTTGCTAACAGGTTTCCTAAGAAAGGAAGCAGAGGGTAGTTGGATTTGGAGCCATCTCCTGCAGTACAAAGATCAACTTTCTCTCAAGGGCATGGCCAGATGAAATCAAAGCATCCTGATGACATAAAGCCAGCATGGTAGAAATGCAGTGTGCTTGGAAATCTCATAAATTAAGGGACAGAATTCTATTTTTCTTCTCTTTTCAACTAAGTAGGTTCTTGAATAATTACATTATCAGGAAACATATTCCGGTCATCTGTATGATGTAGATGCAGATTCTTTGAATAGAAGAAATATGTCATTGAATTTTCCAAGTTATTTATGATTAGCATCTATGCATGAAGAGCGGTAAGAGCTCTCTTATGCATAACCTGCATATCCTTGTGTCTTCTTTCAGATTTGGTAAAAGGTAGTTTGGCAAGATTTCTCTGGAAAGTTGATGATGTGTTATTATCTGAGTTAGCTAAATATTACAGAGTAGACTTCCAATGAATTTTTAACTCTCTGTGGTTAGGAATGATCCTCTACTTGGCATTCTGTGAAAACCTCAGCATTAGAGAAAATATAGTAAAAGAATTGGCAGTGACAGAAACAGTCAGGTGTGCTCAGGGACCTGAGTGCTGAGTGCAAAAGCAGCTCCTTTGTTGTGGATCTGGAGGCATGGAGGACTCAGGAGCTAGAGTCCACCATGCATCCAAAGGTCACAGGGACAGAAGAGTGAACTTACAGGTGATTAGTGAATGATTCACTGAGCCTTGTGAATCATTAAATAAAAGTCAGTGACACAGCTTCCTGTTGCTGTGCTTTTCATTGGGAAGCTGTCAGATGAAACACCCTGGTATTAGGAGAGCAGGTTCTGGAGGAGGTAAGACCTGCGTTCATCTATGAGAAAACTGCACTCATGGACATCAGGGCTTCCTGTGCCAGGCAAGGCCTTCAGCTGCTGAGCCTTATATTTCTACTTACTCTGTGTACACTCACACGTGTGCGCACACACACACACACACACACACACACACTCTGCACACATTGCATACGTGCGTAATTGTTTTCAAATTATGTATTTTCCTTTTTTTTTAGATGAACTCATTTATTTGACACATTAAATTATGCAAAGAAAAATATTTGCAAATGCATAAAAAGAATCCCATTCTCATACTACTCAAGTACCCAGCAGTGGTAAAAACAATGAACTGTAGAGTGGACCCCATGACTTATTGCAAAAGCATTGTACAGAAAAATTTCAGGCTTCTAATATCACTGAATCCAAAACTACACGCGCTTCTTTATATTCCTCGGCTTCTTCTAAGTCTTTTTCACTTTCCCCAAGTTCTTATAGCTGCTGCCCACATTATCTGTATTTACTCCTCTTTCTCAAACTGACTTAGAATTAATATCTGTTGAAGGTCAGTATATGCTGCCTCTAACCTGCACTGGCAATCTGGGATCATCATCCGGGACTCTTGCAGGATCTCTGCCTGCTTTTTAATGGCATAATTTTCACCATCTTCAGCTTTCATTTTTTCAATCTTTTCTTCTTGTTGTTTTGCTTCTTTTTCATACATCACTTTTTCTTTGACTTCACCACGCTGGTCTTGATCTTGATCTGCCTCACACGGGGATCGGCCATAGCGCCTGGACTTGCGAGCAGGAGGGGCGGCATCAGCTGGGCCGAGAGTGCGACGCCGTATTTTCCTTTTAAAATATACACTGAACTTACATCTGTCTGTCAAGTGTGTAACCTACTGATCTAAATAAATATTTATGAATTCAACAAGTTTTTCTGTTGCTGCTTTCAAGCAAGAAAATATCCTATGCCCTTAGAAATGCAGAAATGCAAAATTATTAACTGAGATATGATTGTTCAGGTACTCCAGGAAGAACACCCAGCTGTAAGAAATTTTAAAATATGATTAATTTATTGCAAAGCTTTATTTTATCTTTTTTCTGACACCAATGTTCAGAGTAATGGGCTTGTCTGTGACTGTGGATAGATGTGGAGTATATTTAACCTTGGTTGTCCTCCTCTACCAAAAGGTGTTTAACAGATTTTATAGTCTCCTCCTATCTTGTGATTTCTGCTTTTCAGTCATTTCTCTTGGGGACTGATCAATTAGAGCAGATGCAGGGAGGAGGGGTTGTCCAGGTATATTGAGACTGTAGCAAATAGGTAGGCACGAAATAGGCATCTGCTAGTCTTTGTTCATCAAAGCAAGAGAAAAGATAGTGCAGTGAATTGTGGAAATGTATAAAAATTGCCATGATTAGTTTTAGTAATGTTTTGAGAGGTAATTTCCATTTCCATTAAGTGAAAGCACTTAAAAGCTTCGCCGTGCAGAGGGCGGGGGAGAGACATTTATTCTCTAAATGAATCAATGTAATTTCTTTTCAGGGTCCATTAAAGTGCACCTAAATATCAAATATGCCTGTTTTCATGGAGAATGCTAAGCAGGTAAAACACTCCAGCTCACAGGCTTTGCA